TAAATTGATATATCGTCCTTTTGTTATACATGTATATGGAAAAGAATTAATATTATTTCTACCATTTACATGTACACCTCTATAGCCACCCCTATCAACGTATGGGATTAACTACGCAATGAAATACATTAGCTTGTAATTTTGGAGGAACATGTACACAGTACATATCTGCATATAGGACAGCCCTCGGTGTTAACATTCCAGTTTTTTGTATTTGTAGAAGACCAAGCATATACAGGGAAAATCATTTAAATTTATTAAGATCAGTCTTTTTTTGTGAATCCAAATGTAAAATTAATGCTATTGAAACATACAACCTTATGTTTAAAAAAAATATATGAAGTTCATGCAGACGGCAGAAGGGGAACCCGGGGGGGGGAATAATAATCCACCCAGTATATGATTTTATATTTTAAAACTGTCAAAATGTTGCGAAAATCCAAATCCTTTGTCTTTCACAAAGGTGTGAAATTAGTGTCACTGTGAGACAGGAAATCCCTCTCCGCTTGAACGCGCTCGATACACAGGAATCCACCAGTTACTAAGGAGACCACGATTAGTCCGTGCAGCTACATGTACACTGTGTATAAATGTACTAGATCTAACAAGGACCAAAAAATTACTTACCAATGCAAAATGTACCTAAAATGTTGTTCCGATATTGTTTGTGGTGTTTATGAATTTCTTTTTCTGTAAATTTTTGTTTACGCGATATAAATAGTCCTAATAGAATTTTGCATTAATAAGCTTGGTAGTTTTTTTGGCACTGTTTTGGTTGAATTTTCATACATGAAAACAATATTTTCTAAATCAACTTAGCTTATATCTACTGATATTGGGAAAATAACCCCCCATCCAAAGTTGTGATTGTGCTGAGTTTTGTGTAAGACACATTAATAGTGTCCAAGTAAATAAAAGGGGGAAGGGAGATGATTTTTACATCAAAATTAACTTTTTACACGAAAGTAATCCTGGTAATCTGCATATCGTAAATTTAAATAATTAATTCATATATGTATTAAATTATATGATCAATGTAAATGTCATTGTGAAGTATGTTAAACATGTACGGCAGTTGAAATTTACTGACCCGCTTTCGGGCACGCACGTGTATACCAGGGGTAGGGCTGGTGCAGGGGATCGCACCTTGCCCAGTGTACAGCTGTGAGGATCAAGTATGCGTACCAGGTCTAGCTCTAGACATTATGTAATTTTATTTTATCTTCCACGGATTGGTAGGCCATCAATTCACACACGCATACACACCCTACTGATTTCAAGAACATTGCCCCAGAATAAAGGAATGACACTTTACAGACGACTCGGAGAATGCTGATTACATAAAAATCTTCTGCAAATTATAATCCTATATTTGAAGATTAATAAGTTTAAAACACTTTCATTTATAGCCCCAATGAAATTGACACTGCGATAGATCGTTTCTTTAATCAATCCACTCTTAAAATTAAAAAAGAAAACACGTTACGAAAATATAAATTATTATTGAATATTAGGGATGGGTATCGCCAAAATTTTCGTATCGCGATATATCACGTTTTTTCCCCAAAATATCACGATAATATCATGATATTTTTTACAAGCAATTTTAACAATGATTTTTAATGAATTTAATTATTTTTCTTAAAAATGTGCTATAAAAACAAAATTTCACTTTTTTGAAATTTTTATGTACATAAAATTAAACATGTTGGGATGGTCAAATGCCGTTCTTTTCACCCTTTTTCAACATTTTTAGACATTCTATAAATGTAATTTGAAAGATTGAACGAATAAATGAACAATTTCTGGACTTTATAATATGTACCTAAATACCGGTATTTAGGTCTCCGTATCACGATACGTATCACGCAACAAAAAATCGCGATATACCGGTATACCGATAAAATTGCACATCCCTATTGAATATCATGAATAGCACACTGGGTGTTTTATCTTGCATTGTATAAATATATCACATACAGTAATTTATATCGAAAGTCGTGGATCTAAATAGAATGAACACATTTTAAAAAAGTAATTCAAGGATTAGTAAACGCTATTTGAAAATTGCTTTGACGATTTTTATAATTATTCAGATACATGAGAGTATATTTCTTAGAAAAAATAATTTTCATTTTGTACTTAGAATATTTCAGCGACTATAAATTTTAAAATATCATTAATTTCGTTTTATTTTGTTTTGGTTGAAATTTTCAAAGGGAGGTAACTCGCGTTTTAGACCAAGACTGTTTTTTCACCTGTAATCGGTAAGATGCACCGCGACGGTGTGATTTACCTGGATTACTGAACCGCGGGGGCACGCGGTTTTTATCTGAGACACCTGTACTAACCGCGATGAGATTCACACCGCGGGGGTGCGCGGTAAATGCACAAACCGCGTTGACTGTACTGTCAACAATTCTATCTCAAAAATATTGTGTTCTAAATTTTAGATAAAAGTAACTTTTTTCTCTTCACTATCCCAAAACTGACCTGCAAGTAAAGTATTTGTATATGCCAATAACTTGGGCGTAATTTATTTTAGCGGACACGGGGTTTCAGCTTTTTGCAGGTAAACAATGAGAAGAGTACTGGATATTTTAGCGGACTTCCATTAAAGCGGCAATACGGCTGCAAATCGTGTGCTTTTTCATTCAAATTTACCCAATATATCATTTAGGAATAAGGTAAAAAGATCAAGTAAGCATTTTTAGAAAAATTAATATTCTCCCCTCATACAAAATTAACGTAATTAGAATCTGCCGGAAAATCAAGGGTCGTACAAGTTAGATCTGTTGACTTGTACCACGTGAATTCTAAAATGGCACGTGCACACAATGTAGGATTTACAATTATAATGGTACATTAGGTAAAAGCAATTCTCAGAATCAAAATATCTTAACTCTCCGGTAAATTAATAATAATTAACATTTCAGTCTGCATTCAGACGAATTGAACATGATTAAGTACACATGTTGACGTTTTGTGTATTGGGGTGCGGGAAAGGAAAATCCACCAAATCATACGTCATCGCGGCAAAATGTCAAACAAAATATCTTTCTGCAGTTTTAATACAATTTGCACTTCAAATGGAAATAATTTTTATATGTCATAAGTGCATTTTTATGTTGAGTTTACACTGATTTTTTTTTTCTTTGAAAGCTATGGAGATACGAGAAATGATAGCATGTATCAACAAACCTGTAGGGTAGAACCTTCGCGAGCCCCACGTGAATGTCGTCGAGGTCCCGTTTCTTTTTCATCCAATGATAATATTAATCTCCCAACGAAAAAAAATTTGTCAGGAAAGTTGTTTTTTTAATTTCAATCCCTATTTTTGGTTTTGTTTTTCGTTTTGGTCGACTTTGTCAATGTAGCAGACCTACCGGGCTTCCCTCTCTTACCATGCTGTTTTGTTTATGAAAACTATACACATGTAATGGAATGTGGAACCTCGAACACGTTGCGATGTATTTATTTATGTACCATAAATAATTATTAATTTTAATGAAATAATCAGAATTATTTACTTATAAAATTTGTAATTTTCTGAAAGTGTATACATTTATGAGTATGAAAAAAAATTCAAAATCCTGTAGGAAAATTTTAACAAGTCTGGTTTTGAAGAGATGCGTGATATTGCCACTTTAAAATACTAGTGAGCCAAAATTAGCACCCCGTTATACGGTACCGTATATAGCGGGTTATACTAGCGGGGTGTTAATTTTAGCCTATTTTTGGCGTTTTAATGGTATTCCGCTAAAATTCTAATCCCTTAAAAAATCAGTACTCTTCATACCTCTTTATGTTCGAATTTGCTCTATTCTTACTGACTTTTACAGATTCTTTAAGGAAACTGAGATATTAAATACATTAAATAAAAGATACTTGGACGAAATCAAATACAATGGAGAGAATTTCCAGGCAAGGAAAGAAGAATTAATGAAATGCCTCCAATCCAGGGTACTCAACAATAGTTCTATTGAAGAGGATTTTGACTATTTTTGGAGGCATAGATTATTAAATACGGGATTTTTGATAGATGTTTTAAAACATGATGTCGGATATGTTCAGCAGTATCGATGGCATAGGAGGATTCAACATAAGGTTACAATTATTGATTTGTTTATGTTTGTCAAGTGTTTTTTTTTATAAGACGTCGTGTCAATATATATTTCTATATTTGTTTTGTAGAAGAAATCGAAATGCAAAAGCATAAGCAGAATTGAAAAGGAAGTACGATACATTTAGTGAATTGATGATAGCATCGACCCCATCACATAATTTGTTAGAATATTTGAAAAATGTACTCACTTACTGAATATAAATATCATGCTGTAGAATAAGATCTATGTTCGCTAGTCTTGAAATAGTATTTTCAGTGAATTGGTACGAATACTGAACATCTGATTTATGGATCATTTTTGACACAGACACTCACAGACTCGTTATTAGAATGATGTTGATTTGACTTGCCATGTGTCCAAATAAAATATCTGTAAATGATACTAAGAAATTAAACATGATATGCATTCTTGTCAGAAAATATGTTAAATAAAGGAAATTACGCAAAATTAAAAAAAAATCATGTTGAATGGATTTGTATTTTTCATAGTTCTTAAAACTTAAAGATTTTTCGGGAACATCTTATGAATATGAAAACTATTTATACTTCTGTGTTCAATAATTCAGAAGTGAAAAAAAGAACTCGATAGATTACTCGGACAGTAATGATACATGTTGACAAGTCATTCGAATGAAACCATACAAGTTTTCGGGTCACAGTAGGTGTGAAAAAAACTATCTGTTTAAAAGCCGTTAGTCCTGAGGTGTTGGTCTAACTTTGCAGACCTCCATCGCGGGAAGTGATAGCTTTTTTGAGTTGAGTGAAAAATTCTCAAACCTCCAAAAAAAAAAAAAAAAACTAATCGCTTACGAGTATGTCAAAAAAATATTAAAACAATTACAATCGTTACAAACTTCGAATATATTTAAATTGAATCATTTGTACACCCTCAGTCATAAGCACATAAGATAATTATTACAAATCTGAAAAACATGCTTGAAATTTTTGTAAATGTCATGAAATTTCTCTCTTAACATATTTAGAATTATTGTTCTTTAATTTTCATGCATACATATAGAAACACCACACAAATGACTCTCAGCGTACAAAATGATACAACAGTTAATGTATTATTAGTGCAGCCTTCAATGGGTATTTCGCCATTTAACTGTGCAAGCATTTCAGCATATCTTGCTTTGAACTTCCGAAGATGGTCCAACACATCCTGTCTTTTATTGAAGTTCTTCAAATTCTCGTACACTTTAATCAACCGATAGAATTTGGCTATTCCATCTTCATAGGTTTTCTCCAAGTCCTTTCTCCTCTTTAAAGCAAATTGCGCTTCCATTAACTTCTCATATGTTAGAATGATAGTAGGTTTCGTGGGGGTATTTTTAATGGTTGTGTCACATAAACAGAGACCTTTCTTTATTTCTTTTATAGCTTTCTCATATTCAGCCAACGCCAGTAGACTTTTGGCATACAAACATACCAAACCTAAAATAGAGTGATCCACGGCAGAACTGTGAGATCAATATTCTATTGCTTTCTTGAAAGACTCCGCTGCCTCCTCAAAATTGTTCACCTTAATAAATGCGTTGCCCATTGCTTCCCAAAGCAAAGATTTTGCATCGCTAAAAAGAGATGGAAAATCATCGAGACGCTTGAAACTATTTTCCAGCAGGACTATTGCTTCCTCGGTCTGCCCACTTTCTAGCAAACTCCGGGCTACATTTGTTTCAGATATTATAAATGCCTTTAGTGGCGCATTTGTTTCTTCTTTGATCTTAAGTCCGTTTCGGTAATATTCAGCAGCCTTTCGAAAATCTTTCTTTCTTTCATACATTACACCCATATTGTTCATGATTGATCCAATGATGGGGTGGTTATCCGTTCCAATAACATGACGTCTACGTTTTAACACCTCCTGCTGAAAAGGTTCGCCTTTTTCAATGTTATCTGTATTTGTAAAAGAAATAAGATTTTAATAATTAACACATACGAAAAATGTTTACCGGTATGTGAATTTTAGAAATATTTAACCTAGCAACTTTTTTAAAAGTCTTCCTTAAAAATAATGGAAGGCAAATAACAGTGTTCTACGAAATTTTACGTAAGAGAGTAAAAAATCTAATCAAATCTTCAGCTAATCGATGTTACGGAAGCCTCATTGTTGTATTTAAATGTTTATGATGCTTGTATTGAAACAAAGACTGGTGATTATTTTTGTTCTTCACCTATATATTTACCAGACATATTTAGAAATATCGCAAGGGATTGCATAGTTTGTAGAATCAGATTTTCGTAGTGCATCTTAAGCTCCCGTTCCACTTGGAAAGCATCCTCTAGGATTCTAAAAACCAAATTATTTTTTTTAACTTTTAGAAAAGATCAATGATACCAAAAGCTTAAAAACTAGTTTAAGGTATTCAATGCGTCTACTCAGTAATACAGGACTGATTCTACCGAAATATGTTTTCGTATTCATTATAAGGTCGTTTAAAAGACTTTCACAAATAAGTGGAACATTAATATCATCATTATACAAAGTAAACTGCACCAAAGAGGCACCAGGAACAAAACTACATCAAAAGATTTATCTTGAAAAGAAAAAATAACTGAATAAGTAAAAAAAGGAAAAATGGAGGTTTTAACTCTAAAATGTTTGGATGAGCATATTTTGCCCCTAACGGCCCCTAATTTTAGGAATCGGCCCTTTTTATTCATATCATCTTAAAGCTCTTAAGATTTTGAACATTTTTTGTTCAACAACTGTTCAGAAATTCTTTTTCGTTTTTGAGCTATTAGCAAAAGAAATATTTAGGGGTCAACCCTTCAACTCCTTAATGGGGACGTTTAGCAAAAAATGAAAGGTTGCATATTGTTCAGAACATTATTTTGAACATCTTTTGTTCAGTATTGCTTATCAAAATATTTCTCCCTTTCGAGATATAAAGCATCAAAGATTTAGCATTCTGGCCCCTTGTGGCCCCTAATTATATACCATGCGACATGAAAATCATAATATATAGTTGTAGATGGTTGAGATAAACATCTTTGCTTCAGTAATGTATTACAAAATATTAACTGATAAAGAGTTATCGATTGAAGATTTTTGGCCCCTCTTGGCCCCTAATTGGAGTGCTCAGCCCCTTTTTCGGGATCTCATCTTAAAGATCTTAAGATTTTGAACATTTTGTGTTCAACAACTGTTCAGAAATTCTTTTTCGTTTTTGAGCTATTAGCAAAAGAAATATTTAGGGGCCAACCCTTCAACTCCTTAATGGGGACGTTTAGCAAAAAATGAAAGGTTGCATATTGTTCAGAACATTATTTTGAACATCTTTTGTTCAATATTGCTTATCAAAATATTTCTCCCTTTCGAGATATAAAGCATCAAAGATTTAGCATTCTGGCACCTTGTGGCCCCTAATTATGTACCATACGGCATAAAAAGCATAATATATAGTTATAGATGGTTGAGATAAACATCTTTGCTTCAGTAATGTATTACAAAATATTAACTGATAAAGAGTTATCGATTGAAGACTTTTGGCCCCTCTTGGCCCCTAATTGGAGTGTCCAGCCCCTTTTTCGGGATCTCATCTTAAAGATCTTAAGATTTTGAACATTTTGTGTTCAACAACTGTTCAGAAATTCTTTTTCGTTTTTGAGCTATTAGCAAAAGAAATATTTAGGGGCCAACCCTTCAACTCCTTAATGGGGACGTTTAGCAAAAAATGAAAGGTTGCACATTGTTCAGAACATTATTTTGAACATCTGTTGTTCAAAATTGCTTTTCAAAATATTTCTCCCTTTCGAGATATAAAGCATCAAAGATTTAGCATTCTGGCCCCTTGTGACCCCTAATATGTACCATACGACATGAAAATCATTATATATAGTTGTAGATTGTTAAGCTTAACATTTTTTGTTCAGTAATATATACCAAAATATTGATTGTTAAAGAGTTATCGATTAAAGACTTCTGGCCCCTTTTTGCCCTTAATTTGATGAGTCAGCGCTTTTTTCTTGGTATAATATGAAAGATCTCGATGTTCTGCACAAATGATGTTCAGTATGTTTTAACAAAATATTTATACTTTAAAAGATATGATGCGAAATGTCTCAAAAAATCGGTCATGATTCGTGTCCTAAATATTGACCCCTACCGAGCTCCCATACTAGGCACTTCCGGAAAATATCCTGACCCAGGTGCAATATGGCAACATGTCCCCTACCATCCCTGAAAATTTCAGCTTTCTAGCTTGACCCGTTTTTGAGTTCCATCACAGACAAGGAGGTCATCTAAATTTTGATAAAAGGGCGATAACTTCCGACCGGAAGTGCTTTTTTCAAAATCGAAGCGCCGGTACAAACTTCAGATAGAAGCACATCAACACCGAAAATTTGAACCAAATCGATCGAGCCATCTCCGAGAAATCTTCTGCACAAAATCGGTAAGGAGAAAAAAGAATAATAATAATAATAAAAGTGAAAAAGAAACCGAAGAATAATAGAAGGATCTTCCGCTGAAGACGGAAGACCCTAATAATAATAATAATAATAAGAAACAGAGTAAAAACAATATGTTCCCCAACTTCGTTTGGGGAACATAATTAGAGGTCCTTTTTACTATGTCATTAAGAGCATGTACACCTCGAATAATTTACATATTCGTATTGGTAATAAACTTACTAAAAGCTTCATCCCTGAATTAGGGGTAAGGCAGGGGGATAATTTGAGTCCAAACTTGTTTAAAATCCTTATTAATGAACTACCAGATATGTTTAACAGTGAAGATGATCAAGTATATTTGAATAATGAACCTCTTAGTTGTCTTCTCTATGCTGTTGATCTTGTTTTATTATCATCTTCTCCAAAAGGCCTACAGAATTGTTTGAACAAGCTGGCCACTTTTTGTGATAAATATTGTCTTACTGTAAATTTGAAAAAAACAAAAGTTGTAATCTTTTACAAAAATGCACGACTCACAAATTTACATTTTATATATAAAGGTCATGAAATTGAGTGTACATTGTCATATAAGTATTTAGGAGTTTTATTCAATGCATCTGGTTCATTTGCTCAATGTCAGTATGATTTATATAAGCGTGGTTTGAAAGCTTTCTTTAAATTGGTAAAATGTTTTGGTAATACCAAACCAAATGCAAATATCTTGTTACATCTTTTTGATCATACTGTAAAACCTGTTGTTTTATATGGAAGTGAGATTTGGGGCACTATAAACACAGAATCTGCAGTTGTTAAAAGGACAAATTATGAAATAGAAAATTCCTTTAAAAAGTTATTTAGTGATAAACTACATATCAAAGCTCTAAAATATATTTGTGGGGTTCACAAGAAAGCTTCTAACCATGCTGTTATGGGTGAATTAGGCAGACATCCATTGTATATTGAAATCTTGTATAATTGTATCAAATATTTGCAACATATTTATAAATCAGATAGTACTTTACTAGCAAGTGCATTACAAGAAAATATAATATTGAATAATAATAGAAAGAGCTGTTGGTTGAGTAGTATTCATTTTATGCTGGAACAATTAGGAATATCCTGTGACAACATCTTGGCTGAAAACCTTCCATCAATAGTTTATAATGAACTAAATAGAAGATTTACTAATATATGGCAAAATAATTTATCAGAGTGTGTTAGAAATGAAAAAGGCAAACTTCGAACATATGGATTATACAAAACAAGACTTATAAAAGAAAAATATTTTTCTTTGATATCAAAACCAGAAGTTCTTAAATGTTTTACAAACTTCCGCATTAGTTCACATAAGCTTGAAATTGAAACTGGCAGATACAGAAATGTGCCTGCCACGGATCGAAAGTGTAAACTTTGTGCTTCAGACTCTGTAGAAGATGAAATCCATTTTATATTTGAATGTTCAACTTATAAACTATATAGGCAAGTATTCATTAATCATATAAGTGAAGAAAATAAAAATTTCTCCTCACTTTCTAATAGAAATAAATTTATATGGCTAATGTCAAATGAAAGTAGTGATATAATAAATAGTTTTGCAGAATATATATTTGAATGTTACAATAAAAGATCCAATATTGTCTCAGGATGTTCCTGAAAGTCGAGAATGATATAACATGCAGACAAGGTAGATATCCACTAAAATTTATGCATGATGTGGCATAATGTTTGCGTTTGTGTACTTTTTTCATATATTATACATATTCATTGTTGCATATGAATTCAACTATCATTTGGATCTCTTCCTCTCTTTAGCTTTATATTTTATTTATGTTGTATTTTTCTTGAATGCCCTTCATGGGCCCAAAATTGGAAATAAATGATATTCTATTCTATTCTATTCTATTCTATTCTATTCCATGCTCTATGAGCAATTCTACGGTGGATTTTTCTCCCTTCATACATGCTCTCAAGATAGGCCTACATCCATGTTCATCATAAGCATTTATGTCAGCACCTTTATCCTCTAATATTTTAACGATGTTGTTATTTCCTTGCAAACATGCACAAAAGATAGGACTGCAAATGCCACGATCACATAAATTGACGTCTGCGCCCTTGTTTAGTAAGAGTTTAACCTTGTTTTCAAATCCTAGTTCACAAGAAATAAACAAAGGAGTAATTCCATCGTTACGACGTAAATTTATGTTCGCGCCATTTTTCACTAAAAAATCCACAGTGTTGTTACTGCCATACATGCATGTACTCAATAGAGGAGTTTCTCCATTTTCATTGCAAGCATTAATATCGGCTCCATTCTCCATGCGATGTTAATATGTCCTTTTTCGCAAGCTTCATGGAAAGCAGTATTTCCTTCTTCGTTTAAAAATGGATGTTTACACCATGGTGCAACAAAACTTCTACGGTCATTATATGCCCATTCTGACAGGCATAAAAGAGAGGACTACACCCATCTATGTCAGGTAAATCTATATTTGCGCCATTATACAGTAGATATTTTGCAGTAGTGTGATATCCGTATTTGCAAGCTGTATGTAAAGGACTTTTCCCAGAATTGGAACATATATTAATGTCAGCACCGTAGGAGATTAACAGTTGAATTGTGTCTATAGGGACACTTTTAAACGTACAATGGTGCAGTGGAGTATACCCCCCATCTCCACATAAATTTACATTTGCTCCAGACTTTATTAAGCACTCAATTGTTTGATTACGCCTCATTCCTCCTTGTCGAGTTACTTCGAAATTGTGGGCGTCATCATTGGTTGCGACAATTAATGGAGTATTGTTTAGTTCAGAACGTGCATTTGGATCTACTCCCAAATGAAGAAGTCTCTTAACAATGTCCGAATTATGAAAAGCAGATGCTATGTGTATTGGAAACAATGTATCCCATGTATTATTAATC